GAAGAATTATTTTGGGCTCAGTTGTGATTCTTGTTTTTTTTTCCTAGTTTACTTGTAAGTTTCAAGGAGGGGCTGCAGCTTGCGCCTCTCACTGGGATGATGAATGAACTCACTCTAATTTGCTTCTGAATCAATAAACTTACTATTATTCATAAAAAAAAAATAACAGATCAAAGCAACTTAAAATAAATGAAAAAAGCATATGGTTCCAAGAGGACACCTACAACATAAGCTTTGTCTTTCCAGGTCATTGATAAATATAGAAGTCTTCCCACAGGCCTCTATAGTCTACAACTATTTGACATCTTTTATGGGTTCTCCATCACCCAGTCTATAATTTGCATCAATAGGAGTGTTAGTAAGCTTTACCCCTAGTTTATTTGTGTCCTGCAAGAGATCTAGGAAATATTTCCTCGCAGGCAACTTCAATTCCAAGGAAATAATGTAAGGGACCTAGTCTGTGATTTGTATCAATACGAGTGTTAGCATGCTTCACCCCTAATTTACCTGTGTCCTGCAAGAGATCCAAGATATACTTCCTTTGTGAAATGAAAATCCCTTTTTGAGAGCAGGCAATTTTAATTCTAAGGAAATAACGTAAGGGACCTAGATCCTTTACTTCGGACTGAGTGGCCAAGAATTCCTTCAGTCTCTGTATTTCTGAGGTTCAATCACCAATAATAACTATATCATCAACATAAACTATCAAAGTAGCAATTTTCCCTTTCTTCCTAGAGGGGAAAGCACTAAAATTTGTCTCAGACCTGGCCGACTGGAGTTCCTTAAACTTTCAGTCCAAAAAAGGTAAGAATAAAGGAGAACGACCAGACTGCTCTTTGATCCCAGAGAATTGCTCAGATGCCATATTATTCCACAAGAAATCAAGGTAGGAAGAAGAAGAAAAGTTTGAGAACCAAAAAACTAGGCTGGCGGTACCTAGGGTCTTATTTATATTAGATGGCATACAATTAAAAGTGAAAAAGGCAAGAGTGTCCTTGCAGCACATATAATAATAATTACAACAGAATCTATAATTACACCAAGGAAAGCTTTTATTTTTTATTAGGACCTTGGTAGAAAAAGAATGATATACTTACAACTTTGATGGGTACTGATCAAAAAAATTTTACCACTTCCATAGGAAAATATTTCTGCAATTCATAATGGTTTATCTGGATTGCAAATTACATTTTTCTAGTAAAATTTATTTAATCCTTTTCTATTTTTGTGTTGTTTTCTTTTTGTTCTTATATTTCTCTGGTTGGTGTATGTCTATGGGTGTGTACTACAGGGTTTGGAAAAGTATGTGATGACAAAACTGTTCACTCGTACATTTGCCTCTTCAGAGGACACTAAAGTTGACCAAGAGATCTCAGAGAAAATATGCCTGTTGCAACATTTTATTAAACCTGAACATTTAGATATACCTGGACCTTATCATAACGAAACTTCATGGCTGGTATACATGATGTTCCCTTTTCCTTCTCTAATTGTAATGTTATATAATTCCTGATGTTTTCTTGTTATTATAATTTATCTGTTGTGAACTCATTTTATATTGTTATATACTTTCTACTAGTGTTTTACCTTGTAGTTTGTATATTTAAACCTGGTTTAAGTGATGTATGTAGAAGAATCAAAATGGTACTACAGAAATTGTCATGTAACTCATCTTCTCTGTTTCATGTGTGTTTATATTGGGCATTCATTTTTGAAGCATCTGATTTGAAGATTATTGTGTGTTCATCTATCTACTTATGCATGTAGCATGCTTGTCTGCATGTATAGAGAGAGAGGGAGAGGCATGGCCTAATGCATCAGTTATGCTTCTTTTCTAGAGACACCCTGATTTCTTTCCTATAGTGGGCTTGTGTAACCATGTTTGCACCTTCCAAAAATTATGCATAAAAATGCAAACTTGAATTTTAAAGGAAATTACATATTTAAAAAATCTATTGACTCAAATTAAAGTACATAAGATGAAAGTGAAATCAAATATATCTAAATCATTCCAAAGTGCTTCAAGGACTCAACAATCCAGGTAAGTGAAAATTTCGATGTATTTATTTATCTGCTAGTTGCATTATTTCAAGTAGCTAGTGTGATGTTAAACATCTTACGCTCTTAATCCTAGGAGATTGGCCCACTGCCTCCATAAAGGCCCCTTGAGGCAAGCCCAAGCAAGTCCATGCAGGGGTTTGGGACAGTGCTGCCAACAATGGGTCAAGTAGATCCAACAGACACAAATTGAACCAACCCAATTATATAGTGTCTGGGTCTGCGCTATGTCCTAATTATAATTGAGTCAAACCAGTTTTGGTTGTTCTAAATGGATTAAGACTCGAACCAACTATATATATAATTTTATATGCATATTGATATATTACAAAATACCCTCAGTCTAATATATTTTTTCTTTTTCACCATAAAAATACTTTTTTTTCTCATGATATTCTTGTAATGTTATCATATTATGATGTCCGTATGTGTTGATTTAACAAATAAGTAGGTTTATTGTCAAATTGCAAGTTAAAAGCATAATTTTCAATTATAATCAGGTTTTATTAGGTTAGACCCAACTCCCGGTTACAGACCCTATAAGGTCTAGTTTGCAACTGGTTCTGCATATTTGCTTATCAGGTTGGTATTGGGTGTACCTTGACCTAGACCAGACCTGATCCATTGACAGCACTAGTCACCAACCTAAGCTTTCAGTCTGTATATATAAAGGGGTTCATTTTGTAATTTTGGCGACAGTTCATTCTATTTTATGATTGGGTATCAAATATTAGTTGTATTTTTGTTGCTTCTTTAGTTCAAGATTTCAAATTCCTCTATTTGAATTTCTATTTGCAAGAACTAAGGCTTTAGGTATAAAAATGCTCTTTGTTTTTGTTTTTGTTTTTTTAAGTTGATAGACCATTGTATCATATAAACAACAACAAAAAGAAATTTAAAAGTTCACAAACCATTACCAAAGGTATAAAAAGTAGAAAAATCTTCTTCTACCAAAAAAAAAGCAAAAAAGAAAAGACATTTAAAAGAGGTGCACACTTGAGCTGAGACACAGAGTGCACCAGGCATCAAGCTTTTGAAAGGGGCTTCACCTGGATTGAAGTGAGGTGCACGTGCCTTGCCCATGTGCCTGAGGCGTGCATTTTAAAACACTAAATCAAAGTATTGTTGCATTCTATTTAGAGTAGGTCCTAATCTATATAAACAATTGATGCATTAGTATTTGTACAATGATGTAGTTAAACAAGTTCATATAGAAAGATTATTATACAATTCGGACCATGTGATAATTTCATAATCTAAGTAGTAACTAAAATAGACTAGAATTCCTTCGCTGACAAATTGGATGATTGTCAAAAGATTGTTAAGACATACATGAGTTTATTTTCGCCCATCTCTTCCTTTTCTTTCTTTTGGAATTTATTTTATTTGATGAATAATTTTGTCATTGTCGACAATAATCAAGTCCTGTCCTCTTGAAATTACTTAATATTATAAAGTAACTAGAGATGTATTTTACAATTTGGCTATGGCTTTAAATAGAATGGATTGGCAAAACAGTATTCATGTAACCAACCCCATATTAGTTAGGATAAGGCATGGATGATGATGATGATGAATTAGGGATGTCTTTTTGCCTTGGACCATCAATATGTATTCTTCATAACCTTTCTGAACTTGTCATCATTGTATTGTCTAGAGCTGTTTGTGAGGGATTATCTCTCAACTTATAATTAATTTGCCTTTATCTAGAAGAAACAATCTTTCATTCTCTTTTTCTTTGATGTAGTTTGCTCAGAAAGAACTGCAGAAAATGAATGCTTTCAAAGCTCCACGTGAGAAGCTTCTTTGCATTTTAAACTGTTGCAGGGTCATCAACAATTTGCTGCTCAATGTGGCAATGTCATCAGATAATGTACCAGCTGGGGCTGATGACTTTCTTCCAATTCTTATTTATGTCACCATCAAGGCAAGGCCTCCTTGGTAATAAGTAATTCTGCCTATATCATTCTTATTTTTGTCAATTAAAATATCTGAAGTTACAAGGACTTTTGCATCAACCTTAAGTTATTAAAAGAAAACAAAAATTGTCTTTTCATGTCCATATTACATAAGTTTAACTTCATTTATAAATTCTTTGTTAATCTTGTTACATACATAACAATTGATTAACTGGATAAGAATAAGTTTTGTTCTGTTTTGTTCTGTTTGCAACAGTAAATTTCGGAAATTAGCAACCACCTGCGCCAATCCAAAGGCGCCAATTAACTGTTCTGTTTGCAACAGTACATTATGGAAATTACACAGTCTAGCAGGCCTCCCACATGTTTTGATGGCTTGTATATGTGCCAGTGGAACCTCAATAAGGGCTGGATGCCTGGAATCAGATCCTTACATCAAATAGGTGTTAGGGTACATTTATTTCTCCATTTTAAACCTTTTAAGCTTCTTTTGCACAGCTTTACCAAGGTGGTTTCAACTCTTGTTTTTTGACTTAAATGTTGTCATGTACAACGGAAATTTTTAGTATTAGTTTCTTCCACAAATGCTTAAATAAAACATTGTAGGTTGGCTGCTTTTAAATGAGTAAGAAAAGCTAATGGTACTTCCCTTTTATCTAGCACTTCTTTTATTAAATCTCTAGCTCAGATTTGAATGAAGTAGATATTGCATTTCTGATTTCTTTTGCACCTAGAATGGGTGCTCCTATGACTTCTATTAGGCAATTTAAATAGCATGGTTTTCATAGTTGTAATGTCCTTTGAGGGCCCAAAAGTATTAAATGTAAATTCAAAATATTCTAGTATTAGCATCTTGAATGGTGAGTTCAGGACATGCTTGCTCAGGCAACTTGAATAAAGTATTGCTCAATTTACATCCATGGAATGATTATTGAGGATTATTAGGAACTGTTATTTATAAAACAGAAAAAATCTGGTTGTATTGGTTGGAGCTCTTTTTTTCAAGCATTTTGCCATTTGTCTATTCATGTTGTTTATAGCACTAACTTGCTTATCTAAGTTTTATTCACACATAGGATTTCACCATTGGCAGGCAAATCCTCCTCAGTTGCATTCAAACCTCAAATTCATACAACTATATAGGCGGCAGTCAAAACTGATCTCAGAAGCTGCTTATTATTTCACGAATCTTATGTCTGCAAAATCTTTTATCATTGACTTAGATGCCAAATCTCTTTCCATAAATGAATCTGAGTTCCAGGAGAAAATGATTCAAGCTAGGTTGGACAAACAAGAGAAGTGTATAGAACCCTGCCCCAAATTGGAGGATATGGCTGGGCCTGGTCCTTCCACAAGGAGGCATGAGATGGAGATCAACATGGTTGGTGAGTCCTAAAATGCCAAAGCTTTACTATTTCCACATCTTGTAAGGCAGTCAGAATAGTATTATACCTGCTGTTGGGGGACCTTGCTAAATCCTCACCTTTTCGATTATCCATAATTGCACTTTATTGCATTACATATAATTGTTTTCCATATTTTTATTATGGTTTTAAAAACCAACACGGAAATGGAACCGCTTTGGTCACCAGTTCCCGGGTCAAATGGTCTTGACCGTCTGGTCCAAACCCGTCAGACGGGTTTGAGGTCCAAAACCAGACCACCATGACCAGTTCCTAGGTCAACCGGTCTGACCGTCCACTCTGGTCCAGTTTTCAAAAGCATGTAATTTTATTAAGTCGTCATTCCATCCTAAACTATTATTACCATATTAATTGCTCCCTGTTAACTCTATATTTGATGCATATTTATATTAAAAATGTTCCACTATTAGAGAATTAACACAATTCTCTTGTAAAGCAAATAACAATCTCACTGCTACACCATACAATGCTATGTTAAAGGTAGCTTTTTGTTTAAATTTTTGCTTTTAATCTAAATTTTATGAACTTCAAAATTAAAGGTAGCTTGGTTTCCTAAGGTCTTTCCACTGTTCCTCCCATGACCCCAAATAGCTGGGACCAACATTGCTTATGGCCTTTTTATACATAGACTCCTAAGATGAGATCAGCTTCAGTTAGTGCAACTTCCGTTCCAACAGCCTTTATAGCCCTGCATTGGGAATATCTCTGTACTTATGTGCTTTATTTCATGGGGAGATATTCCCAATGCAAAGCTGCAGGAGGCTGTTGGAACGGACTTTGCACTGACTGAAGCCGAACTCTCACAGAAACTTTTAAAATGTTTCTAACTTAGCTTTATTGATGCATTTATATGATTATACTTTCATTTGAACCTTTACGGCTTTGTCTAATCCAATGGTACTAACTAGGTAGATATTCTTTTTGCATTTCAGTGGAGGAAGACTATCCATTCATGAGAGCAGATCCTGGAGAGTTAACAGTGGCAGATGTTGAAAAGCTGCTGAATCTATACAAAGAGGTTGTTACCAAGTATTCAAGGTTGCGTAGGGCAGTAAAAAGCCTTCCCTTGGCCAAAGAACCGGCGTTACATTTTTTGGAAGCCCAAGACACTTTGCCACGGCAACCCAGGCAACAAGAAGCACAGTTAATTTTACCCCAGCAGCCAAAGCAACAAGATGCGTCAGACATCACCGAGGCTAAGTAAAAAAAGGAGTTAGTGAGTTTATCTTTCATTGTTGTTTCGTATGCGACACTTGATTTGTTTCCCTGTTGCTTTTCTTTTTCTTATTAAAGCTAAATCTATATAAGCTTCTAAAAGGCAAAATATAGAAAACACAACGGAACTACAAAGCTAGTCCATAATTGAAATTTTTGCTAGGACTTTTTTTTTTGGCTGGGAGAACATTTTTTTTTTCAATTTACACAAAAAAAAGACGGTCATGGTCATTGGTCATGGTCATGGATGAAAACTTGAGAAAAAAAAGGCTCGCAGCTCTCCTCAACAAACTCAACCCAGGTCATACTGTACATCCTTGTAGGCGAGAAGAGAAACTGTACAAATTACAAAAGGTAGGTACACTCAGCGTACACCAAAAGGCAAAGTGAAATTATTTCGAAATTCAACGGTCGGGTTGGTAGTGACAACAGTCTCATCCTTGCAGTTTCTGCCAGATTTGGAAACATTGGACGATGAGCCCTTCCGGGAGCTTTTACATCTACCGCAAATGAACCTAGCCGGTACTGCTTCGAAGTCATCAATTCCAGCACATCTCGTATGCTGCCAGACTCCACACGTATCACAAGCTAGCATCCTCTCCCCATCATCATCCCTTGCTCCACAGGTACAATCAACCGTCCAACTCTCTGTCCCCCTCTCCATCCGGAAGCGATTCAGCCCGTGCTTCCCAAGGCATCTACCTCGGACACGCACCAACCCACTCACTCCGATTAGGAACTTGACATGAGTTGAATCGTCCACAAAACCATAGTCAAGCACTTCCTCGGCCTGAAACCTTTTAAACATCACATACACTTCTTGGAATGCCTTGGCGGCTTCATCCTTGAGATCGGCCACTGTAGCATTCAGGGGTAACACAATGAGCTCTGGTGGGGGTGCCGTATAGTCTTTGGGTTGATCCACCAGTTCCACCAGGCACGACAGACGTATTGCAAATGGATTGTTTACAAGAGCTTTGTGAATGGGTTCGTAGTCTTTAACGAATTGCTTGCAATCCAACAGCTTTGCAGCCGAACTAATTGCTAGTTCACGGGTGCTCTGTGGCCTGTAACTAGTCATTGTATGCGGATGCAGAAGGGACTCGTATAGAAACCTGAGGTCCCTCAATAGATGATCTTCGGACAGGCAGTTCGAGTTCGCCAATTCATCAGATGAAACACCGGCTACACCATCATCATTCGTCCTGCAACTCGCGGACTCAAGCCTGCATAAATGAATTATTTTAGGGAAATGCGATTTTAGTGGGACAAAAAAAAAACCTTTGACAGACTCGATAATCGTGGAAAGAAAAATGTACGTCGTTGCTTACTTGAATTCAACTGCATCCGTATCAGGATTACACCTGACACCGACCACCATACCATCGGGTACTGATTTCCCTCCCAGATCCTTGAGGCAATAGTCGAGAAGCTCCGCTGATGCCGTTCTACTCACAGCACCTTTGAGAGCACGCCAAGTAACCCAGCGTGACCCACCAACGGCTCGTAGAACTTTAATCATGGCATGTTCAACACGCTCGACGTCATCCCTTGTCCAAACACACAACACTGTTGAGTTAACAAACCCAGGCTTTTTCATGGTGGCCTCAGAAACACAACACCGACGTTCATGGGCATCATGAATTAGCCTCATCAAAAAGCGGAAGAGATCCCTTGTGGTCGTTAATTCGGATTCTGATAGCGACTGGTAAAATGCAATTACGTCTTGGAGTCGTGAGCGTGGTTTCCGGGCTTGGGATAGAAAGATGGCCAGGGGCATGTTTGATAGGGTATTGACTGCCTTTGAGTAAGCTTCAATTGTGAGAGCAAAACTCCCAGCACCAAACTCATAACCCCAGTCACCATACCATGGCCGGCCCTTGGTTACTGCATGAAGCAGCCGATACTCTAACCCGTACTTCTTTGACACGTCCATCACACTCACCTTCCTGGTTAGGAGAGAAAAAAGGTTGCAATTGAGTGGATTTGTAAGAATGAGTAGGAGGAACCAATCAATCTGTAGCAAACATCCCAAGATTTTTTATAACCTCAATAGCATATGTAGTAGTTCCAGAAATCCATTTAGCGTCTATGAAATGCCTCTAAAATAGAAAAAAGATCAAACACCAACAGAAAATAATATCTAGAATATATTCTTGCCACCCTTCACATTATGCCCTTGAGCACCAAAAATGTCAATTAAAAGACCATGAGAGTCAATTCTCTATTTCTCTTTGCTTCACTCCTGTTTTCTTGTTGACTATTACATTGACCTCACCCTTTAAAGATCAATTTGATTATTAAGACGAAATTAATTTTTAGCTGCTAACAAATTTTTTCACCTATATAAATATTTTTCCTTTTATAACGTCTTCATTTCTGGGTTTTCTAATTTCCAAAATTGTAAAGGTGCATAAAATTCCTATAAGCAAATTTGCTTATGAAACTCTTTTTCCTATTCACACAAGTTTTATACATGCAAGCCTCGAGGATTAACAGTGAACCCAACAAGTAAAGCAAATGGATCCTTACCTAACTCCAAGCATTCTACATAACCGATCCCAGAAGTCCATTATGGCACATCCCGATAGAAACTTTGACCCGCCTTCTTTGCCATTGACTCTAAGAAGATGCCCATAACCGTTGGTGTGAACAACACCATGCAACAGATGAGAAGTATCCTCCAATTGGTGGTACACCCAATCTTCCAAATCATCTGCAGTCATAAGATAGTTGCACGACTTGCACCTGTAAGAAACAATAGCCATAATATTATGACATCTTTCTTGGAGGAAATGATCAAATAAAGAGATGCTTGCATAGAAATTTCTCAAGTCTATCATCTTTTTTTCTTTTGGTTCTTTTTTTACCAACATAACTCAATTGCTTGCAATCTTTTTTTTTATTGTTTTTGATAAAAACACTTCAAATCCATCCATTCTCCACGGATATACTTCCATATGCAATCAAATGATACTAATTAAAACTCAATCCACATAAAACACATAACACAGAGACAACACCCTCCTTGCTACAACTTCAAAACATATAATTAATCAATCAACTATAATAACAAATACAACATTACCTATAACAACAGATAAAAAAATGAAATTGCATGGATCATGTATATACAACAGACTAAACACATTTCCAAATATGTATATGGCTAACATGCCTAGCCATTAACAGAGATGCTTTCCTTAGCTTATTTCCTTATTAAGGTTACAGGGCAATTTTATCTATCTTGTTGACAGAGATATTCCAGACATCCAATCTCCTAGACAAATCTTCCAACACAACGAGAAACATGACTGGCACAGGATGCTCCATTTGGCAATAAGATCAGCATGGAGAAGGCGCACTAGATCTAATCCCAACCAAAAAAACCCCGGGCTCATAATTGCAGATTAACCTTTAGGATGGCTATGTATTTAAGCTGCAATTACAAAAGTGCAACCAACAAATCAAAACATATTCATTTCATAAACTAGAGAAGGACAAAGACATGTGACATGAGCAACCAGAAAACACACCTGAAATCTATCAGAGGGTAGTCCCCCTAGGCAACATCACAAAATCCCTGGATGTGACCATTTAGAAAGCCAAATGTAATTTTTGTACTGTATATGAGATCCTGGGCGCTATGGAAATGGTAGCAATTTCATCCAATGACCCTGCCACACGGAAACCCTTGGATCCAAGAAGAGTAAAGTAATGCCAAAAACTGAGGCCATAGGACAAATCTTTCTGGTAGCACCACAAGCCAAGAAATCCAGTCTTGAGCTCTAATGGTGATAAATTTCATCCTTTAGATAGGAAACAGGAAAGGTCCCCTGTAAGGTTATAACCAAGGAGGATACATCACGAGAAAAAATGGTGTCAAGATAATGCAGCAAACACCCTGTGTTGGAGAAGAAACACTAGGAATACAAAACTGTTACGAAGAACATCAAAAAATGTTGTGAAAACATGCAAGAAAAATAATAAATAAAGGGAATGACATTCAGTGTCAAAAGACACTAAAATTTCCTAGCTGCCCTTATTGGCACATTGTTGCTAGATACATGATTTAGCTAAGCTTCCATCAGCCTGAAAGGGCCGCCACTCAAAAATGCCTGTCCCAGCAAGATAATTCTTGGGAAGGGTAAATTGTCCAATCTATGACTTAAACCCAGGTTCTCACTCTTGTCAGCCTAAGCCTTTACCATCACGACATGATATCGCCCCAAGGTAAATCCATCAGCATAAAGAAAAAAAAAAACAAGACCCCACCCAAAAGAATAACCATGGCATATCTGATAAACAAAAATGAATGAATGAAAGTCATAAAACTGGTTTTCAGCCTTAATTTTGTTATTACAAAATTAGATCCTCCAGTACCATCTTAAAAGCCCCCAAGGTCAGTAATGCAACAAAGTTAACTGTCACCTTGAGACCCATAAAAATTTAGCAAAATGCCACTTAAAAATTTTATAAGATAAAAACATAGATAAATGAAGAATCTCAAGAGTACAATGGATTCTTACCTCAGATCTGACAAGTGCAGCAATTCTCCACAGCTTGTGCATGGCTTGTGATACCCATCAAAGGAATTGCAGTCTGCTCGAATTATGAAATGGAAGCGCTTTCCGCAGACTGGATGCCCACTCCACCCTTCAAAATTAAGATAAAACAAAAAGTCAATAAAGAATCCACCCATCAAACAGAATAGTCATACGAGGTTGAACATGACAGTTGCCATCTATGATCCATCCATTGTCGTCAACGACGGAAGCATGACCGAGTCGAACCAACACAGCAACCTTGCTATAATAATAATAATAATAATAACCATAAAATATAAATAAAGAAGAAAAAAGAGCCGTAGCGGCATCCACTTGCTCAGCTGTCCTCTTATTTGGCTTAATTCCTTGCTACAGAAACCTTTTAGCCGTTTGATGCACGATTGCGAACTTAGTCGACGTTGATTGATAAAAAATATTCCAATCTAACGGGTTTTCACTTATCATTTGGAGTTCTAACCAAACCACCCCAACCAAAAAGGTTCCATTTCAACGACTCTGACCTTTGAAACTGTCCAAATGGATGGCAAAAGCAATCACGACTAAAATATATAAAATGGGACAGAACGCAAGTGTCCAAAAATCAGACCAACCCTTTACGTGGGTGGGGGCCACCTTCAATCAGTTGCCAACCCTGGCCGCTTTGATGCCACCACGTGTCCAGTTTCAGTCCATTACCATCTATCTAGATTATCCCATCTTAAATCTATGTACACGTGTCCCGCCCACCACTATATAGTACACAAAAAGCCTGAATTACCAGTCACCCAGTGTACGTACGATAAACGCGAAGCTTCATTATCCACCTTTCAGCTGCAACGATATTTGGCTTCTCCTTTTTTTTCCTTCTATTATTATAATAAAATTCAAGTGTGGACAACGTGACCGGTGGGCCCAACCACGCTAGCCGGCGACCGGCAACGACCACTTCGCCGGAAATTACGGTAGCTACCTAAAATCTCGTGAGAAAATAATATAACTATCTCCATCTCGCGATATTTTAAATTTTCTAAAGCTCATGAAATCTCGCGCCAAGAGGACGGACAGCTGGCATGTGAATTACGGAACGTCCGATTAAAAGGAAGCAAGGAAAAATCAACAGCAGGGGACCAATGACTATGATTTGGTATCACGGGGGAAAGCGACACATCTCGCGATAAAACCAAAATCTCGCGTTTCGCGTTATTTTAAGCTATAGCCACGTCAGCATGAAATCAACGTTCCCGCCTAGCGGTGGTTAGGAATCCGGCAGCGACCGGAATCTGACCCACGACCGGGAGAGAACTGGAAAGTGGAAACTAAAGAATCACGGGAATGGCGAGCGCGAGTCGGCGAGTACTCACCAACGACTCGGCACTGGTCGCAGTAGACCGACCTAGACCTGGTGACGTCCTCTTCGACGACATCGAGAGCGACGACGGCCGGCGACGAGTCATGGACGCCGTCAACCAAATCTCCGATCCGGAACACGATCTGCCACGTGAGGAGGTGCGGGAACAGGGACGAGGGAGGCGGTAGGTATGCGTGGTTCGAGAGGAAGGTCCGAACGTTCGACCGGAAAGGCCCTTCGAGGCTGACGGAGACTCCGTCTGCTGCTGCCGGGAACGTCAGGAAGTCGTAGAGATCGGCAGTCACCCTCCTCTTCATCCGCTTCAAGGGCCTTCCGTTCACAACCATGGTGTCGATGTTGCTCTTTTAGATCTAGATCTGGTGCAGACGCACGTCAGATCTCGCGTTTGTCCGGCGATCTTGACTGACTGTACACTCTATGCAAGAGATCTCTCTTTGGGGTTCTTGGAGAAGATCTGGGGTTCGAGATAGGTTCGATTTCGTCGAGAAGAGGGAGGAAGAAGAAGAAGATGAGGATGGGGGTTTGATTAGGGACGTAGATGAAGAAACGAAGAAGAAGGGGGAGAGTCGGGAAAATTAGGGTTTTCAGTTTCGAAACAGGAGAAAGAAAAGGGGAAGGAGACAGCGTTGCCCTAATCCGCGTTGCTTCTCTTTCTTTTATCTTTCTCTCTCCACCTCTCTCTCTCCTTTTTTTTCTTTCCTTTCTGCTTTTGCTTTTTATTTGTTTATTTCGGGTTTCGATAAAGCAGACTCTCGAGTCGGTGTTGGAGTTTGTTTTTTTTTCCTACTTTTCGTTGTTCGTGTTCAACCCGTATTGATACACGGGTAGCTCGAACACCACTCTTCCGGAACATCATATGGGACCCATTCTATTTGCAGGGTTTGGTCAAAGCACTTGGGGCCCACCTGTTATACCAGATGACGGTTTTGAACCTATCCGTATCCAAACACGGGTTGGCAACCGGTACGGATAGCGTTTCTGTTCCTCTTAACTCTTAAGTCGAATCGTTTGTGTTTTTTATGGTTTTTTACTTTTTTTTAAGTATTAATTGATAACATTAATTAATTAAAATTTAGAACGTCTTTTGTGAATTTGTGCTGCTTCAATGTCTTTTGAAAGTGGAGGTAAATTACTCAGTTAAATTACTAAAATATCCTCGTACTTTTACGAAATTAACTGACCTTCCCCTTTGGGGGGGGACTGGAGTGGAGAGGCAGTTATCTTTTTGTGTAGTGTTGTAGCTGATAAAAAGACGAGAATGCCCTGTATTTACGTAAAAAGACGAAAATACCCCGATAGATTTTGGAACGTTGAACGGGTTAAAAAAACTGGAAATAAACAAACTGGTCGTGGGCCCGCCTGAAAATCGGAGCGGTAAAAGTGAAAAAAAAAAAAAAAAAACATATGTTTTTGGGTAGTACGAAGCGAAGATTCGCAGCCTCGAAAGGAACGGAACGGAACGGGCGGATTGGTTGGGGAGTTTGGGAAATTACAAAAGGAGGCCCGGGAGGAAGCGGAAATTAAAAGTTTATGTACTTGGTTTGGAATTCAAAATTTGGGAAAGGCGGTTAAAATGGAGATTTGAAATTTTGGGAAGCCAAAATTTATGGAGAGCTGAAAAGTCGATTTGAATGTTTAGCGGGAAAGGGGCCAGGGGCCAAGGGCCATGTGGGGAGGCGGTGACGTGTTGCGAGGACGCTATACTGTGAGGAGCGTTCGGTGAGGAATCGGAATAAATTATAGTTTTAGCTTTTGGAATATTAACTAAGGCCCCATTTGTTAAGCAAGAATAGGCGTCTAGAATGGGCTATTCTAATTCCAACTGTTTGGTTGGATGTAATCAAAATCTCATTCTTATTTTGGAATGGCTTTTTTCCATTTGAGGGAATGGTCATTTCTTGCCCTTTTTTTGAGAATGAAATCTCATTCATACTGATTCTAATTTTCATTCTCATTTCTATCTGAACCAAATAAAATATGGGAATAGACTATTCTGATTCCAATTTTGGAGGATTTCAATTCTGATTATGACTATGAATCAAACGGATCCTAAGAAATGGTCTATCAAAAGAAGTAACATTTTTGTTGTTTTATGTACCTTTGTAATAATGAGAATTAGGGTCTATTTGGTTTACAGTCAAAATTGGAATCGGAATCGGCATCAAAATTGTCCATTCCCATAATCTGTTTGGTTCAGACAAAAATGGGAATGGGAATTAAAATAAGTAGGAATGGGATTTCATTCTCAAGGGAGGGACAGGGGGAATGGCCATTCCAGCAAGAGTGGGAATGGGATCCCAATTCCGCCCAACCAAACAGTTGGAATAAGATAGCCCATTCCGATTCCAATTCCTGACCCCTATTCCCATAAACTAAATGGAGCCTTAATCTCATGTAAGGAAGATCTAGATGAAGATGAAAAATTGATCATGAAGATATAAACAAATAAAACCTATATAACATCTTAACTCACACATCAAATGCACACAACAAATTTCCTAGTCTCCAAATGATTCATTTCCAAACAACATTTACTGTACAAACTTCCTTAATCCTTAGATCGGTATAAAAATAAACAAGATCAACTAGTTTACAAGAAGGACTATAAGTCTATAAATTCACCAAGTTTACACTACCTAAGAAGATTATAAAGTTAATGCATTAGCCATAGTTTACATGTATAGATCCAATACTTAATATCCCTATTCATAATTAATAGGTAATCATAAAACCTGCCTTAGCACAAAATCTTCAATTCTATTGTATATATTGCATTTCAAGTATACTTGTTCATGGATCAAGGGCCCGATGGGCCAGCCCGGCTCGGCTCGAACATGGTTTTAGGCATGTGGCTCGGGCTTGGCCTAAAACACTAGGCCTGACTTTTTCTTTCTTTTATTGTGTCAGGCTTAAGCTTTCTCAAAATGGCCTAGCTCAATAATATTTTGTATAATAAAAATATGTAATATGTGTTTTTCTATGTTCTCTTCTCTTTTCTCAAGCCATAGTACAATCTTCTATTATTTTTGGATTTTGAGGTCATTTAATATAAATAAAATCAATTTTGTTGTTGAATAAAAAAATCTCCTTACCCAATTTCTAGGTTATCCAATCACCCCCTAAACCATAAAGCCCCTCAACCCTAGCGTAAGCTGGATTTGGTCCTAAGTCTATTCTACAACCAGTAGGATACCTTAATAAAAAATCTAACTTATCAAAAAAACTAATAAAAAACCTATATTTATTGTTATTTGCACAACAAAAAATAAAAAATATATAGAATAACTTGAATATCTTAAAAAATGCTTAGTACAAACTAATTGTTTTTCAAAATTTTATGAATAAATTTTTGAATTGATATGAAAAAAAAATCAAATTTTATTGAAATGAAAAAATTAATTTTCCAAACAGAATATGATTTTTGAATAATTAATTACTAAAAATATTAAAAAAATCAATAAATCAGATTTTTAAAGCAACTTTAACTAAATTAAATTACCAAAAATATGAAAATTAGTTTATGGAAATAACTAAATTAAAATTTTCTAATATATACCAATAACTATGGAAATTGTTAATAATTACCAATTGTAAATTATCAATATTAAAATTCTCCAATAATTTTCTAATTTAATAATTACCAAAAAACAATTTAAATTAACAATAATTAATTATGGAATATATTAAAATTTTCTAATTTAATTATTTTTAAAAAATATTAATTTTTCTAAATAGTTATAGAAATTATAAATATAGTTCAAATTCCTCAATAATTTTCAAATTTAATATTTACTAACTACCAAAACCAATGTAAATGAAAATATCAATAAATAATTTTATTAACAAACTAATTTTTAAAATAAATAAAATTATGAAATCACATAAAAATTATTGGAAATTACTAAAAATATTTTTTTGAAAATTTCAAAATAAATAATTATCCAAAATTACTAAAATTTGTAGGTAATAATTATCAATTTTAGATAATACTAATATATGATTAATTTCATATATTAAAAATAAGTTACTATTTAAATATTGAAAATTTTCAATAAATTTCAGTAATTATTAATATTTCATTTATTATTGCTTGTTCAATAATTATTGATATAAATAAATTAATTTAAAAAAATATGTATTTATGAATAATTAATCACTAAAGCATGAAAATAAATTGATATTTTAATTATCCTATATGTTCAATGTATGGTTAGTTTTTGCCTTTGTTATAGCGGTGAAATAGGATGCAAGGTGACGTGGCCAAAGGCTAAGAGCCTCCTGATGTTGCAAAATGAGGGGCCTGGGTAAGGTGAAAGAAAACCTGCACTTAATTAACTTGTTATGTTTATTTTTCATTGTTATAAAATTAAATTTAATTTGAGTTTTAAATTAATAATTTTTTATTAAAATTATATTTATATAGTAAATTGTTATTGATGTGTAATTTAAGTTATGATATTATGCTAAGTTTTTAATAAACCATCCAATGTTTTTAAAATCGACACGGAGGTTGACCCCTTTTTTTCTCTAGGTGATAGATCAACGGTTCAACCGTCTAGTCAGATGGGTCGGCCTACGATGTCATAAATAAAAAATTAAAAAAGAATAAAGTACCATATGTATAACCTAATCTAGAACAATTGTTCATGCTCTATAATTCTATAATTATTCACTTATTTAATATTGAAAATTTTCAACAAAATTGAAAATTCATGAGTGGGTTATGAATTCTAAATAGTAAAATTGCATATTAGTACCCTATATTTTGGGCCTAGTCTCACTTTGGTCCCTGAACTTCAAAACATGCCAATTCGGTACCTAAACTTTCAAAACATGCCAACTTAGTACCTATCATTAATCGACCATTAGTTATATGTATCATGTGCTAGTTAAAATTTTACAAAATGGAAAAATTGCCCTTTAAATTTTTTTTGAGATCATTTTTCCCTTGTCCTTTAAACGTTAAAAGTTACAATTGTTTCCTTTTCAATAATCTAAACAAATGAACGAAGAAGCTTTCTTCACTTTTGGACAAGTGAAGAAGGGTTCTAGGGTTCTTCACTACTGAAACTTGCAAAGATGAAGCTACCTTTTGTTCCAATGAACAACTTTGAAAGCAATAGGTTCTAAAGGTGTGTTGATTCTTTATTCTCTTCTCTTGCCTTGTTACAGGTTGTGTACCTATTGTAACAGGGCAAGGAATGCATTAGGTTCTATCCCGCTGAATGAACTATCTTGAAACCATTAGATTCCATCCATTTGTATCCTCCTACCATTTGCTTATTTTCTTGCTTCGGTTAGAATGATTTGCAATGTATATTGTGTAGGGATGCCTTCTTCTCAACCCACAAGTGACAATCAACATACTAGATACCTTAAATACAAGCCAAAGTATTGTAAATGTGGAAAGAGGGATGCGATTCAAGTGTCGAAGACAAAGTATAATCCAAATAGGATATTTTACAACTGCCTTATTAGTCTTGTAAGTAATTTAGATATCTCATGTTGAATGATCTTTATTACAGTGATGGGATACTGACCTCCATTACATTTGATTGATTTTAGGGCAGCATAACTCCGCCATGCATTTTTTTTATGGGCAATTCCCACAAACTTTTCTAATGAAGCCAACTCAGTGGTTAATATAGATGACCATATTAGAGAGCTTTAGAAATTGGTGGCTGATTTGGACTATCGTTT